GATTGCATTTATTCACCGAGATCAAGATTTTCAACAGGAATGTGTGAATATTTGAAATTATCTAACTATATTAGTGGTTCTTAACCTTCCTAATGCTAAGACCCTTTAACACAGTTCTTCATGTTGTGGTGACACTCAACCATAACATTATTTCACTGCTACTTCATAACTGTAATTTTGCTATTGCTATGTATCATAATCTAAATATCTGATATGCAAGATAGTTGATATGTGACCCCTGTGAAAGAGGTATTACATCCCTCAAGGGGTTGTGACCCACAGGCTGAGAACAGCTGAACTATATGCTATTGTAATGAGTCATTGTACTAAATCCTATATGATTATTCGATGCAATAGGAATCTTAGGGAATGAGACCTAACACATATACTAACCATTGGTTACTGTATTGGACATTTCTGGATCTAGACTCTGTCAGTTACAAGACACAAGACCAAAGACCTTTCTTAAACTGCCGTCCATCCACAAATCTCCATCCAAAACTTCTTGCTTTACATGTGGATCAACCACAAGGCTTAAGGACACTCAAAGCTTCATGTCTGGTTTCCTACGGGCAAAGCAGCAAGATGCAATAGCAGAAGAGGGTTAAATTCATGAAGGCATATGTTCCTTAAAAGTGCGGTGCCTCTTGTGCCATCCCAACACTTTCCGTCAGTGAACTCAGAGCTGCAGTAATAGATGTCACGGCTACTCTAGTCTTCATAACCTTGCATGATGCTGTGCAGTAGGTTTTGGGGATGTGAACTTGTGGGATCTCCCCTGAGCTGCTCTAAATTTGTAAGATTTATAAAGGTATATATTCTAGTGACAGTATCGACAGTATCTTAATTCTGTTTTTTCTTTAAGGCTCAACATAGTGTTTCACTTTCTTCTCATCTCATAGCTTTCATTTAGTGGCATCCATAGCTTTTCGGCTTGGTCCTCCCTCAGGCTACATGCACCGTTTCCTCCCTTAGATACTGGAAGTCAAAGAGGATAGAGTGGATGAATACTAGGAGCCTACTCACACATTTCCATTAGTATTTAACAAGAGTTACCTACAAAAATAATGCTTGTCTTCCTTCCCAGCATCCCCAAGGTATATACTTAACATGTGTGAACCATCAGAATGCTGGGAGACCATCACAAGGAGGGGGCCACCACATTGAGAGATGAAGTTAAAATAAATACACAAGACGGGTATGAAAGCCTAGTCTGAGACATAAAGTGGAAACTATATTCCATAAATACCAAGATAATCTCCTAACACAACAGACTGTAGATGGGGTAGAAGAACTCGAGCTACTTATAGACTCACAGACTGGTCCAGTATGGCAACATTATAAACAAAAGCAGCTGCTGTGAGCCGGCACCTGCACTGCCCCTATACACCACTCAACACACTGTGGATAAGGCGTCTTAGTGGTAAGATGCTAGTTGGGGCATAAAGCAGGGAATAAAACAGCCCATATGCCCATATACTGAGAACTATTGCGCACACGGATTTTATTAGTATTCCTTTCTCGTGCGCGCCTTTGCTCTTTACCTTCCAGGTGAGGACTATAACTAACAAAATGATTTCTATAAGACTGGGTTGATGACACATCCTATTCATTGAATGCCTTTATTCCCTGATCTCAGGAGGCTGAGGCAGACAGATCTCTGTGAATTCCAAAACAGTCAGGGCTGTTACACAGAGAATCCCTGTCTCAAAATACCAATATACATACACACATACATACATATATACATACATACACACACACATGGAGAAGTTTTTATCTGGCTCATCAACTCTCCATGTTCTTGCCCAACCCATCTGGCTCTCTCTCTCTTTTTTTCTATTTCCTTTTCCTGACAACAGCCTTCAGAGCTCTCTAAATTCTCTTCATCTATACTTTCACACTTTGGTAGAATGCAAACTTTTTGCAGTTAAAACCCATCGCATAGAATCACTCTCTTCCCCTGGTGAATACTCAGACAGACATATCTGGGTGTGGCTATTGGGTGTCACGTTTACGAGAGTATTCTGGTTCCTTGTGAGACACCTAAGAAGTCTCAAATGGAAACCAACTTCGCATAAGACACTCTTTCCAGGCACATTTTCAAGCTCTGTTTTACTACTGGGGAAATGCCAGGTTTGCTTTTCCTCTGTTACCCTGTGAATTAGCAGGGTCCAGACCTTGCTTTATGGGCAAGAACCTCCATTTAAATCAAGGAAACCTAGGTGTGGCTTAATGTACTTTGAACCTGTACTACAGATTCTTATCTCTAGGCAACAGCTTTCCTCACTTGAGTTTCTATCAAAGGTCTGTGTTGCCCATCCCTAGAGGAAACCACTCCATGGCATCACACTGAGGACTTGGTGAGAAACAGTGAGCCAGAGAGCCAAGGGACAACTTTGCCACCATCACTCTGTCCGCAGAGCATCTATAATTAAGGAAAACAGGGCAGGAAAATTTTTTTTCTTTTGCTTTGAGAGTCTCTATCAACTACATAAACCCCTCTTTGTTTGCTTTTGTTCCTTCTAATTATGCTCATTTCTCTAAGACAATGAACAAAACACAAACCATAAAAGAGCAGGCGAGAATGAGAGCGAAGATGAAAGTTAAGCCCCACACAAAGTGGCATTGAGAGGAGAGAGACAAACACACTCTATTCAAGTGGTCACAAACCCCTTCAGGGACAGCCAGAGGGCATCAAAGGTAACATTCACTCCCAACACAGGGGAAGGGCAGAGAAAGAGTGGGGTGTGTGTGGGGGGAGCACAGAGATGGGCATTGTCAAGGAGGTAAAAGTCTCGAAATGTGCATCACAACCCTGATGAGCTCTTCATTTGAAGTGAATATCCACTCGTTTGTCTCCTTTCTCATTACTACTCCATCTTTAAGACTGTCTATGCAAAACACATCCATGGATGGCCCCTCTGTGAGCTGTGTTTGAAATATACTGTTTATTTTTAAAGCATATTCTTGCACTTACATGTATTAGGCTTTTTTTTTTAAATAGCAATTTCACCGTTAGCTTGTACAGTTTGCTTTTTCCTGCTGAATAGCACTTCAGTTTGTGGAGTGCCCTGAATGTCGTTTGAGTTGAAATGTTACTGCCACCTACCGTTGTTTGCCAGGAATGTAAACAAAATGAGAAAGGAGTTTCTTCAAAGTGAAGGGATGAGGAGGAATGGAGGAAAGTGGGAGGAATGTTGTAGCAACAGATAAAAGAAAGAGGTAGAGTTAGGTTTACCTACTTATTCAACATGGAAATCTGGCCATCACACTACATGTGAGCATTTGAAATCTGTGAGGACTGACATGGCAAGAATCAATCTTTGGGAAGGCATTTGTGAGTGCTTCTTACGAAGGGAAAAAATGGAATGGAAAAGATCCAGCTAAAGGAGACACACCCACAGGGAACCAGGGGTGTAGCCTTCAGAAACTAGTCTGGTAGCTTTAGTAACATGTGGGAAGCCCTAATTAACAGTTCAGGTTGAGACAAAAATCCACTTCCATTTTGGGAATATGTAGCTTATTTTCTTGTATAATTGTATTGCATTTATTTATGTTGATGGGGAATTGCTGCATATAAGTAGAAGTTAAAGGTCACTTTGAGTGAGTTGGTTTTCTCCTTGCACCATGTAGGTTCCAGTGATAAAACTCGGATCCTCAGGCTCGGGGGCATGTGCTCTTACCCACTGAACAACCTCGCTGGCCCTTGTGGACTTTTCAAAGGCACACATCATAGAACCATGAAGCTCCGGGCTACAAAGGCTGACTGAGGCTTTCAGGATTAGTACTTGAAGCTTCTAAGAAAGGTCATTTCACACAATCATGATGTAGATACTCAATATCTATGTTGAGGTGTCCAGTAATTGAGAAAGGCTCACCCACCCAAGTATGAAGTCCAAGTAAGGACTCTGAACCCAGTTGTAAAATATGAAGAAAAAGATAATAGGTTAAGCAGTTTCAGTTCTGTTCCTAAAGAGTTCTGGTAGAGAGATGAAGCTTCCTGTCCCATCCTCTCCTTAGGAGACAATGTCCACTGGAGTGGGAATCCTGATCTCAGAAATCGCTGCCCCCTCCAAAAGCTTCTATGTTCAAGAACACAGAGGTGTCTCCATCACGTAGCACAACCATCCACAAAACATGGAGAAACTCTGAGAACATAAGTTAAAGACCCAAGAACCAGAGTAGTAATGCCAGCGGGCCAGCAGAGTGCTCACAGACTCTCTGAGAAAAAAAAATTGGTTGTGTGCACAGCCTTGTGAAGAACTTAGCTCCATTCACCCAAGAGAGATGCTCAGAACACTTTCCCAGCACTTTCTAGGAACTCGAGATGGGTATGATAAATCACCCTCTGAGTGGAGGAGAGGAAGGAAAGGCTGGGTGCTGGTACACTGGGTGACGCTGAGCACTAAATGTGTACTGTGTGGCACTGAGTGGGGGCGCAGAAACTTAGAAAAAGAGAAACACTGTCTCCATCTCCCTAGTTTCAAATTGGGGCGTCTCCCTCTTATAAAGATAGCTTTCTCCCTGTCTCTTCAAAATTGGGCTCAAGGATCACAAACATTCCCACTCTCATACCCCCTTCTTCTTATTTCCAGGAATGACTCAAGCCAATCATAGCCCAGACCACACACCTGAACATGCTCCCGTTCCAAACATACGTCACTGGGATGCACAATTATTTTAGAACTGTTTTAAAAAATCATCAGTTATTCATACTCTATATCCATTAGCTACAACTTTTCCCAGAGGCAAATCAACAGAGAAGACAAGAGTTAGGGTGAAGTCTCAGGAAGCTGCAGCTGGGCTAGAAGGTTTTTTTGGAGGCAAGTACCAGGGAGGAGAGAAGGCCTTCATTCAGAACTTTGAACCGGGTCTCGGAGTTGGAAACTCTGAATTCTGAGAACACAGGCAACAGAACGATGGGTGGTGCCAGAAGGTCTCCCTGCCCCCCAGATCTTTACCCACATGCCCTGAGAGACAAAGAACAGAAGGGCCAGCAGGGAGTCGGCTCCTCACTCAAACCTAGGAGAGAAGGATGGAAGCAGCTTCAAGGCTTCCTCCCTGCACGGGTAAGAAGAAAGGATTTGTAGCAGAAATACGTCATAGCACAAGCAGAGACAAGTAAGTCACAGTTGAAACAGTTATGGCCTGACTAGGATGGCTGGAGTTAGCCCCAATTCTGAGTGGTAATTCCCATATTCCCTTTCGTTGCCCTGAATATCCTGTTTCTACATCCAGGGATGTGGTAGAAATCTCAAGGTACTGGGGCTTCCCAGGGTGTAGCTCTCAGAAGACTGAACTGACAGTTGACTCAGTGTTGGGTTTTGTTCCCTTTCAGAGAATGAGAAATAACTGTTTTGCACCTCAGTGAACTGTGCTCACCTTTCTCTCCTAATGCGGGTGCTGCATTATTATTATAACTAATAATCCTAACTGCAGAACTTGGCCCTGGAGAGGCACTATCAGTTAGTAAAACTAGCATCCCTTGTTTGGATGGTGACTTTTTTTTTTTTTTTGGTTTTTTGAGACAGGGTTTCTCTGTATTGTTTTGGACGCTGTCCTGGAACTCACTCTGTAGACCAGGTGGGCCTCAAACTCCCAGAGATCTATCTGCCTGCCTCTGCCTCCAGAGAGCTGGGATTAAAGGCCTGTGCCACCAATGCCTGGCTGGATGGTCACTTTTTTTTTTTTAGCTTAGACATCACCCTCTCTATGCTGTATCCCTACTCCATTTATCAAACTGATGAGAGCCAATACCATCCTGTCACTATGAGGCCCTCAGGGATGAACCAGAAACTGGATTAAAAAGAGCTGACTGTACAAAAGCCCATGACATAGAGCACCTGCTACAGGCATAGGGCTGCTCCCAGGGGAGACAAGAGGCTGTGCACACAGCTTCTGCTTTTAGCACGCTCTTGCAAACATTCTATTTTTTTTTTGCCTTGTATTGGCCTAACAGCATTCCAGCTTCTGCATTCAGGGGGATATGGAGTTACCATTGTCTAGTTTTAAATGATACTGAAGCAGCTCTAACATTTTGCCAGCTTTTACAATGTCCAGAGGCAAACTGTGTTGTGGAAGGCAAAACTATCATCTCTGTTCTGATTTTATTTTTTATTTAAAAAATTTTGAGATATTTTTACTTATTTTTATTTTATGTGCATGAGTGTTTGCTTGAATGGATGTCTGTATACCACATATATTAAGTACCCACGGAGGCCAGAAGATGACTTTGGGATCCCCTAGGACTGGAGTTACAGAAAGTTGGGAGCCACCATGCGGGCGCTGGGGATGGAAACCAGTCTTCTAGCAACCTGTGCTCCTAACCATGGAGCCAACTCTCCAGCCCCTCTGCTTTGGTTTTGGAGGATATTCTTAGCATCCCTGTGGAGTTCCTATCCTCTCAGCCTACGTCGTAGCAAGTAGAAGCAATGAGCTTTCTACACACAAGGGCCCCATACTTGCTCAGACTTCTCCTTGTCTCTTCTGGTTATTTCCACTTAGGAAAGTCTGGGAGTCTTGCCCATGCAGAATCTTCAGATGGTCAGGACCCCAGGGGCCAAAGCATCTCCTTCACCATTCAAACAGCCTCTAAATATCTTCAAGGACTAAATAACCAAGAAAACCCCAAAATACCTAGGGATGTCGTATGGAAAGCATCTCATGGCGTAGGCTGCTTGACACTGCTCTCTTTGGCTACTCCACCTTTCCACTGAGCTCCTCAGAGTTTCCTCTAACTCCCCTGGACCTATCATCTGGACTTTCTACTTTCTAGCTTGTGAAATATCAGCATCTCCTTTAAGGAATATGGACACATCTTTCTTATTTTGCCACCTACTCGTCCTAGCTCAAATATATTTGCATTGATGTTGGCAACATAAAAATGGGATTGCACAGCCAGACAATGCACTCAGCATTCCAACTATTATATTGCTGCAATGTGATTAAAATTAGGCTCACCACAGCAATACATCAGATACCTGTTTATTTTGGTCTGATGAGACACCTTTGCTCTGTAGTCCAGACAACCCTTGAATTTACAGTCTTCTTGCTTATGCCTTCTGAGTAGCTGGGATGGCAGATCTGCACCGCCAGGCCCAGCATGTGTTTTCTCTAATAGTCAACATCCATTCATTCAGCCTTCAAGCTTTACTACATGCTGCTGTCTCAGATGCAGCACAACATGTTGTAGCAATGCCCAACCTGGCCAATCAGGGAACACACACGATTTAAAGAAGCCTCCAGTTTCTTTTTATGCGTTCCAACTACTGCTGCCCAGGTATGAGTAGGTAAGGCTGCCAACTTTTACAAAGGAAAAAAAAACTTAACAGTGATAATATTGCCAGTGCTGTGATTGTTGGCAAAATTTGGAGATCCCTGGCAGCATTTACAATAAAATATGTGATTTAATGTTGGAGCATATTTGTTCTAGCTCCCTATTTCTCTTGAAGTGTCAGTCAAACCAGGACCTGCTTACAGGGAATCTCCAATGATGGCTATCTTCCTGGGTGAACTTGGAAGCATGACTTGATTTCCCCAAAGGGAACAGGTCTTCTGTGTGAATATTTTTTTGAGAAGTGGCCATAAAAAGAAAATGAAAATATCTTATCAGCCTTTTTTTTTTTTACACATATCACATACAGGATATTCTTGTATGTTTGGGTCTCCAAGGAAAACACTCAAGAATGGCAAGGAGATAAAGAAGCCCAAAGAAAGGCGAGCTTTCCCTGCATTTTTTCCAGCTGTGGTGATTATCCAAGGTGAACAAGACTTAGACCAGTCAAAGGTGAGCAGTAGGGTACTTAACTATCTCGGTAAAACACATGCCAGGGGCGATCTCTTTTCTGACAGCACCAATTCCATCTGGAAGCCCAGCAAAAGCCCACAGCCCACTAAGCAGATTAATTTTCTCCTCCTTATCTGACTGTGGTGCTCAAAGGGTATTTCCACAGTCCAAATCCTACCGTAATCATTCATCTCCTTCCAGGAACCCAGAGCTTTGGCAATAAGTGTAACCCCTGTTTTCAGTAGGGTCGGGTCATAACCTAATATTTCCAGAGGAAACTGGGTAAAGAAAACAGCTGAGAACCGGAGGGATATGAAGCAATTTTTTTGCCAGCCAAGATCATGTCGATTTTCAGAAATGAGAGAGGACATAGGGCTGTTATCTTGATTATCATTGTATCACTGAATTGTAAACTACGTGGAAAGGCCTTTTTAAAAATTTTTAAAGTATGATGGTGTGTTCTGTTTATCCCTAAACGGTTTCTCAGTTACAGATTTCTTTAGACATATCCAAGTGAAATGTTGTTAACTATTGGAGTGTTCTCTGAGGAGCATTTCTATCATATAAAGAAAGAGTTGGTATCTACCAGCTCGTGGGTAATAGTACAATAAAATATGCCTAAGAATCCTTTCAAAGTGTACTGCTCTTAAAGCTCATTTTCATTAAATATTCGTACTTTCCATATGAGAAAAAAATAAGAGTGGAGTATAAGGGAAAGAGCAAATCCTACTGCAGCTCAAGCTTGCTAGCTGTGACTCTTGTCTGAGGATGAAATTGTCTGCCAATGGCAGAGATCTAGTAGCCTTGATCAGCTGATGAGGTAACAGATAAATGCTTAGACACGGGCATCTCCATGTTTTCATAATGAGCTCAACTTCACTTCTTATTAGTGTCAATTTCTGGCCTGCCCTAGGGCTGCTTACTATAGTTTCACCCAGTATCTTAGACCAGGGCTGAAACAAACCCTTCTTGCTTGTGTGATATTCCTTCATCATGGGCCCTTCAGGCTTAGGACGTGGGAGTAATGTTATATTATTATAATATAAATAAGTAAATAGATGTGTGTCGTTCCATCAATTTAGGAGAGTCTTGTAAACCAAAAATCTGAAACCTGGATGACTATTGTTACTTGAAAACTGAACCCATCTCTGTGTCCTGTGCCTGCTGACTCTCGATCAACTTGCAAGTTAGTCTTCCCTGTTTTCAGAGAGCTCATAGAATATTGGAGTTTCCATTTCCTTTCTTATGTCATAGATGCAACGATGAGCACCCAAATAGATTGTTTAATTAAACTTAAGAAATTTGCATCTTTTTTAGTCTTCCACCTGAACAAAACAGCCTCACAAAGGGCAATCATTGAGAAATTAATGATAAGGGCAAAGATGTTTTTATATTTTAAAACAAGATCTCATGCAGTTCTTCTAACTCCTTAAGAAACTAAGGATGATCTTGTACTTCTGATTTTTCTACCACTACCCCTGAGTGCAAACACACATTGATGAGGTGTTGTTATGGAACTCAGAACTCTGTACATGCTAGGCAGGCAGTCTATTGACTGGGCTACAACTCTACCCACATGCTATTTTAAATAAACTTTCTTAGACACAGAAGCTATTCTGTTAAATCTCAAGGCAAAGTCATTAGGATCCTAACAGAAAAATGTGTCAATCATCTCTTGCCAATGTATTTCAAAATCAGTTCTTCAAGACTGTCCTTTACTCTGTTTCAGGTTTCAAGACAGCATACATTCACTCAACAAGACACAGCAGAGACAAAGGCAGAGTTCTGTCTGCTCATGACTTCCACCTCAGCATTCTTGAATAGAGATAGAGAATGATCCAGCTAAGAAACTAAGTGCCCAAACAATGAGAAAACAGTGAGAAGATCCAAGGGGGCTTTTTTGTGGGGGCAGCTTTGGAGTGATCTGACTGTCATGAAGGAAAAATGAGCTGGGCAAACTGTGTGCTCTTCTTCTCTCTTCCATCCCTTGGGGCTGAGGGAATCTTTGCAGAATATTGCCTCTCTTATTTATGTTCTCAAAGAATCCATTTTTCAATGTAATTATTAATCATTTATTTTGTTTTATTCTTTTTGCTATTGATTTATACCTTTATTTTTATTGTTTGTCTCTCTTCCTGTATCTTTAGTCTTTACTGTGGTTCTGCTGTCAAATGAAATGCTTTGCATATTTGTATACAAATGTCTTTTATTGATAAATGATTTACAGCCACAAATCATTCTATAAGTGCTATCTTAATATGTAAACAATCTGATAAGTAATATTTTCAGTTCTAAGTCTTGAATGCTTTTGATTTTTTCTTCGCGAGTCAGTTACTTAGTATCATCAAGATGTTGAAATTAAACCCATTTTGTACCCATGTTGTTTGAGGTTTGGGGCTGGGCTAACAGATGCCAGTTTCATTGCAATAATTCCTCATGTTCTTTCCACATATTTATTCTTAAATATTTCTTCTGTGAGGCTACTCTGAAGTATTAAGAAACTGTGGAACAGTTCTGTTGCACAGAAAGATATATTTATCAAGATGCTGCAACTTGGAGAGGAAAGGGTTTATTAGGCTTATACTTCCAGGTCACTGTTCATCATGGAGGGATGTCAAGAAAGGAACTCAAGCAGGGGCTTGAAGCAGCAAATCATGGAGGAAAGTTGCTTTCCTGACTCACTTACTGACTTGTTCTCTGGTTTATACTTAGCTAGATTCAGCCCCAAGGTCACCTGCCCAGGAATGGTACTATCCACAGTGGGCTGAGCCGTCCTGCATCAATTAATAAAAAAGACACTACAGTGAGTGGTCTGTGTCCAGAGATCCATAGACTCAACCAAGCAAAGATTAAAAATATTTCAATAAAACATTCCTTGTAGCAAACACATATGGCTCTTGTTATTCTTCCTTAAATAATAGAGTACCACAACTCTTCATGTAGTGTTCATCTTGTAGTAGGTATTGCATGGAACAGGGAACTGGATTATACACAAACATAGCACCACTTTACATAAAGCATTTCGGTGGTTTACTGAAACAGAGATGGCTGGGTAGTCCAAACAGAAACTAAGAGCTCATTCCAACACAGGTTTAAGAAGCTGGTTGTTAAGGGAAGTGCTCCATTCATTTGCAGTTCTTAGGAAAACTGTCCACTACTTCAGAAACAATCACTTTGTATGTTAGAAAGTGTACATCAAGATGCTTTCTAGAGGAATCTCTGACCAAAGAGACTAGATTGAGATAATAGTCTACTCTCTGCAAATCACATATATATGGAAACACACAGTTGGTTCCCAAAGGCTTAGTATTTATTTCTGCAGATAATTAAAACTCTAGTTTTCCAATAAGTCTGCCAGTAGATGCCACTTATTTAGCCATTCACGATGGCTGAGTCATCCCTGGTCACCAGCTCTAATACTGTACAAAAAGGAAATGGAAAAACACTCAGAATGTAAGCAATCAAAACGCTCCCCGAAACCAGCAACACGGTTTAATTAAAAAGAGAAAATCCATAGCAATTCATTTTTTTCCTTTCTCCTCTTCACATAAGAAAATAAGAGGTAATACAGGGAAGTAATTAAAATGAAGTCTCCTTTTGCCCTCAGGGTGTCTAAGTAGAACCTTTGCCAATGAAATAATTAGCTTGAGATTTCTCATTTTTCTCCTTTTGTCCTGGGGAAATTGCTTCCGGTCTTTCTTTAGAAACAATGCACCGTCTTGCCTCTTCATTTAACTGTAGGCTTCTGAGAAGCTTAGTAATCCTGCTATTCTGTGGAAAGGTAAGATTGAATGTACAAGACCAATGTCACTATTTGATTAGGACCCTGAACTGGACTGAGAAAAACCAAGCCCAGTTTTATAAATCAAGTGTATTTTTGTAAGCTCTGAGATGAGGTGATTGTCCTGAAGTTAAAAGTGGGTGCAAATGAGTGACCTCAGATTGCACCCTAGGATGTGTTCCTGCAGCAAAATACGAGCAGACAAGAGGATACACTTAGCACTAAGTACCAAGGTCTCTGTAAAACTCCAGCTGTATGCTACTTTCCAACCATGGTCAGACCTGAAGAGAAAGGACCCCTACAACACATGCACATCCATACACAAATAACACCTGGCTTGTCCCAGTTTCCTTTCTGTCATCTTAGAGATGAGAGCATTAATTGTAGCTCACAATTCCAGGCTACAGTCCATCACTGTGGGGAAGTCAAGGCAGTAGGGCATGGAAGTAGTTATCATATCACATCCACACTCAAGAGCAGAGAACGACCAATTAATGCATGCATGCTAACTTGTTCCTCTTCTATAAAGTCTAAGACTCAAACTCAGGAAATTGTACTCCCCACTGTTAGAAAGGCTCTTCCCACGTCAATTAGCATAATTAAGAAAATTTCTCAAAGCTAGGCGTACAGGTCAACTTTTTCTAGACAATCCCACGTTGAGACTCTATTCTAAAGTGATTCTAAATTACATCAAGGTGATAATTGAAACTATGATACCATTGTAGAAACAATAAAAACCTACTGGACAGTATTACACAAAGCACATTCAGAAATTGAGATAAAGAAAGCATCAAATCCCATTGGTCACACAACAAAAGCCCGCATGTCTTTTCCTAACTATTCAAAACTCTCATGCATCTCTACCTGGTAGAGTTTGTAAGGGATCTGACATACTCTTGTCTCCAGTAACAAAAGTACTAGTGAAGCTTAAAACATTTACAGACCTAGAAGCACAGTCTTGAGTTAGATTCCTAGGAAGATAATAGACGATGGAGAGCCATCGCAATCTGGCAAGCAGATAAACCCAAGCAAAGTATCTAAAACACCAAGAGGGACACAGACACATGAGACAGCTTGATCACCACCAAAACCAGCTCACATGTCAGACCCTCCCTCCTATAGCAATCATTGTGACACAAATGGAAACAGCAAAATCCAGCTTAGTGGCCTCTGGACTCTCTGTGCATGGTGTTTTTAGCAATAGGGACTTAGCTTCCACCTCTGGGGAAGAACCAAGGGTAATAACAATAGTCGATCATGTTTTAGGAGTCTCTTGAGTAATCCAGACTAGCAACATGAGAGGGCTTCTCATGTCTAGTGTTGATGTTTTTGTTAGACAGTCTATGGCTTTTATACAAGTAATATAATTCAGGTGAGTTGGTAACGCGTGCGCGCATGCACACACACACACACACACACACACACCAATAACAATAACAACAATTAATGAAAAAATAGGATATGAACTTGAAAGAGAGCAAGGAATATATGAGAGGGCTTACGGCTTACAGGGAGGAAATGGAAGAGAAAACGGTGTAATCATAATCTAAGAAAAATAATTATAAAACAGTCAGAAACTCACTGTAGCACTCTGGAGTGACTGAGATCTTTCATATCTGAGTCCTCATAGTGGGGTGTGATCATCCCCAGCCCACTGTCACTCAGCATGCGTTTCCTCAGGGCAGGGTTCCACCAGTCAGACAGCCTGGGCCAAAAATGGTACCAGAAAGTAAATGCACATTTTACTCTACTTTTTTCTCATAGCAATCTTGTTTTAAATCCATTTTTACTAGGTACATCCTTTGTATTCATCCTTTCTCAACATCTCTGAACTACTTGTATGATTTTGTCCTTTTTTATATTAACAAGGTATTTCATTTTGAAGATTAAGTCATTATACTACATGTGACATAAGTACAAAACTAATGGAATCAGGCATAGGAATTAATTTAGAAAATGAGAAAGCCCAACCTCATTCCAGATCTTTGTTCTTAGTTTATTTCTAAAAGGCCTACTGCTGAGAAATCAGGCCACTCTGCATATTAACAAAACTGTACCGAGAGACAAAGTTGTCCACACTTGGCATGGAAAGAATAAGAGGAAAAAGTCCAAAGACACCTTAAGAGATGGTTCTGTTTCTCATCATGTATATTTAAGGGTCTTTATGATGTGGGTTGGGCTCTAGACACCAGCATCTGTCTCTTCTTTGGTAGGATGTCACACAGGACTGGATTCCCTCTGATAAGTGCACTTGTTTATGCTCTGTGGTTATGGATGCACATTCTCTGTTTGCTTTGAGTGTCTGTGTATGCTTTATTGGGCAACCTGTATTTCAGCCATTGGTCCCTCACACCAGGGAGCCACTGTCTATCAGACTTCAAAAAGACAGAGACATAAGTCTGTTTTTATTTTTGCACTATTGCCTCTCACATATTATGATAGTTGGTGCATAACAACTCCAAATAAGTACATTTGAACTGTTAAATATTTTTAAATAGCTTAGCTATTTGACAAGATGACATTTTAGTAAACACACAACAGACCAGGCATTGTGGTTTTACAATGAATATGATCATAACTGTATAGCATATGTTCTAGTAACTTCTGTTAAGTGAGAATGTTTTTGTATACTTTTCTAATGTTTTTCAATTTTAACTCAGTCTCAATTTCTTAAGGATTTATATTATTTTATTATTTACATGTACAGAGTGTATTTATGTGTGGGTATGCACAAATGTGAGTATAAGTACCCAAAATGTCCAGAAGAGGGCAACAGATTCCTTAAAGGTGACATATACGTAGCATAGACACATAATGTGAGTGCTGAACTCAGGTCATTTGCAAGAACAGTGCATTTACTTAACTGATGAGCCATCTCTCCAATCCCTCAAATAGTGTTTTAGTACAGTACCCTGCATAATTTTCCTTTGGTGCTAATTAAATTGGGGGGTTATAGCTGCTTATTTAAATTAAATACAAACAAACAATCATTAAGCACTATGATAATAACAAAAAAACCTGAGGAAGAAATTATGTCTATAAAATGGAACAACTTTTCTTAGTACATGAAAAATAAAACCTATTTTCACTAAACTAAACACAGGATCTGCATGAAAAACAAAAACAGTTGAATCTGAGGTTTTTAGACTTATTTTACGCGCAAGATTGGGCAAGCAACTCTGAGCCTCAATTTTCTTGTCTATAGATTTAGGATAATCACAGAACCTGATTGGTAAGGTCATTAAGAAATTATTATAATATGTAATGAATGTCCACCATGTGACAAATGTCTTCTAAGTATTTTACCTGTGTCAATTTATTTATTCTAAAACTAATTCTCTGAGTAGGTTTTTTGTGTCAACTTGAAACAAGCTAGAGTCATCAGAGAGACTAGAGGCTCAGTTGAGAAAATGCCTTCCTGAGATCCATCTGTAAGGCATTTTTTTCAACTAGTGACCAATGCGGGAGGACCCAGCTCATGGTGGGTGGTACCATCCTTGGGCTGGTGTCCTGGGTTCTATTGGAAAGCAGGCTGAGCAAATCATGGAGAGTAAGCCAGTAATCAGCACCCCTCTACGGCCTCTGCATCAGTTCCTGCCTCTAGGATCCTACAGTTGGAGTTCCTGTCCTGAATTCTTTCAGTGGTGAAGAGCAATGTGGTAGTACAAGCTGAATAAATCCTTTCCTCTCCGACTTGCTTTATGGTCATGGTGTTTTGTCTCAGCAATAGAAACCCTGACTAAGATGAGGTGATATTACTATTTGTATTCACAGGTGAGAAAAAAACATACTAAAGAGAATTAAGTTGCTATAAGAAAAGAGGAATAATACAAGAATGGCAAGAACAATCCAGATACTTTGTGTCAAGCAATTTAGAATAAAGGCAAAAATAACTGGATTAAATCATCTATGTCAACATTTCTTGTGGATAACACACCAAATAAAGCCCATATAGATGCAAAGATGGTAGTATCTGTATTTATAACCCCAGTATGGAGAGGTTGTGTAATAGTAAATAATGGTTGTGTAGGAACCATTGTGTAGGAATGGCTGGGCATGAGGATTCCTACGCAGTCATTCAGAAGATGGCCTTACACAACCAGATGCATCTCATTTAAGGAAACATCAATAAATCTGAATTCCAAATGTTTTATGTCATTAGAATATCAATTGCAAAGCCAAAGAAGACACAGAGGTCACACCACAGCCAGCCAATGCCGGCACTGAGGGAGTAAAAACCCACTTACCCAGAAGCCTGCTCAACCACCAGGTCAGGCATTCCTGGCGGTGTCCCTGCCTGCTGTGACACCACCATATCTGGGTCCAGAATAAAAATCTCATCATGAGAAATCTCCATCACAAAGTGCAAATGTTCCTAAGGAAGGAAAAACGAGCCTATCAGGGTGTTGACATCACCACCCTCATAATAAGGAATGGACTGTGCAACACACAAAATCCCACTGTTTCTGGGTAGCACTCAGAGGACTAAGGGAGAAATGACCGCCCTGGTTCAGTAGTCACACCTGACCAGGATCTTGGTGGATGGAACCAGAAGTGACCTCTCCCCTGCTTCCTCCCAGATGCTATAAGATGTGGCATTTGACATGCCACCTGGTCCAGTATGAGGATGTGACAGCTCAGACTTCTGTGGCAGGATATGGTCAAATCTAAGTGGCAATGGTTAAGAAAGAGCTGCTTTTCTATGGGTTCAATACTGTGAAGTATTTTTCCAGGAGAATCTCAATGGTGGGCAGAGTTTTTAAACTTGAGTAAACATAACTTATTATTAAATATGGGTGAGTATTAGTAAACCAAATCTAAGTTATCTACATTTATGCCAGCTAAACAAAATGCATTTAAAAAGTATAAACATCACTTTGGCCAGAGTATAAATGAAAACTTAGAGTTTAGGACTGTGATAATAGTTGTAATTCAAGTTATTATATATTTTCATTCACCATTTCATTGAGCCCATGAGTCATAAAACACGTGCAGACAAAAAGCATTGTGGCTTAGACTATAAACACTGTCCAATAATCTTTCATTTTTCCATTATCAATATCTATGAGACTGGCTACCACCACAGTGCATGGACTGGGAGATGCTTCACTTTCATAGATAAGCTGGAAGGACTTACCTGAGATCTGTCTATTCGATAAAAGCGGTCAGCAGAAGTTGCTAAGGGAAAAAACATATACAGGGCATTTAGAGGCATTTAAGCTTGTCATCAGATTTACACCTTTTCTTTCTACTGCACAGTCAATCAAAACCTTTGTAACAAGCATGTTACATAGGTGGCCAGTCCCTAAATCGATTACTAAAACACCAGTACCTCCATTCGTTGGCCACTGCTATTCAGATGCTCCAAAGTCCTTCCAGCCATTCTATTGTCTGCATCTCACTTATATTTAAATACTAACTCAAATGTTTCAGTCTCTGTGAAACTGTGACAGGGCCATCTTGAATTCTTGTTGAGGCCATTTCAGGCTTAACTAGAATTTGATCTCCTCGATGGAGACTTGGAAAATTACCCAAGTCTATTCTAGGGACCCATGGTCAAGACGCCCCAGGTAACTTTTCTTAGTTTCTGCTCAACCGCTGCTTGTGCAGAACCCCAACCTCCAACTAACTGCTTATCTTTGCTTCTGTCAAATTGCTTGCTTACACAAAATCCTACCTGCAGCTGCTGATTGAGATGCCAGGATGTGGGGTTTTAGCCTTCAAAAGCCCTGTGCTCTGGACAGTAGGTGCTACAGTCAGGTCCAGAATAGCTGAGTGTAGTCCCAGCTGGCTGGAATAAAGACTTTTAATTGGCTATAAACTGTGTCTGAGTGGTCATCTCTGGTGGGCTCCCCATAACAAAACTTTCCTCCATATCAACTGCCTATAGCAGAAAGTCAGTTGCTCCTAAATCCTACGCCCACTGTCATTCTGCTTAAACCCTTTACAGAGACTGTCTTCAAAGATGCTTGTGGGACTAGAAAGCCTGTGTTGTTGAAAGGGTTCTTTCATTTATTCCCTTATGTCTCCAGGAGTTAACACAGGAATTTTAGCAGTGGCAAAGGCTTAATATTTTATTAATTAAATAATCTTAGAAAAGAAATAGTGGTTGGATAGACTTCCCAGAAATGTGACTCTCATTTTGGAAAACAACTTAAAGATGCAGGCCAGAGACCACATATGCCCCCCAAATCATTTCCTTTCAACACTCTGCCCCTAGAGATATGTCTGAAGAAAGCCAAATGACAAAACAAAGATTAAAGTTTAAGCAATATTTAAATGGGATTGGGATGCATCTGTGATTCGAAAAAGAAAATCTCTGAAATAAAACATAGGGTGTTTTTGAAGTTATTTGATTCTCCTTAATAATAAACAAAAATCAACAACAATAACAAAACAAAAACCCTATGGGTTTCCTTCCTTAAATCTAACCGAGCCCAAACACGAGAATTTTTACAAAACAGACCAAAAGCAATGAGAAATATAAAGCATAACAGAGCAAACGATGCAAATCTTTGCTCACAATCACAAACTTTTAAAAAAATAATCTGGCTTCCTCCAGCAGCAGATGGGAGCAGGTGCAGATACACACAGCTAAACATTATTAAATCTAAATTGGAGGTCTCCATTGTCACTCCCCTCAGAGCTCAGAGAATTCAGCAGAAGGGGAACAGAAGGATTATACCAATTGGAGGGGATGGAGGACACCAGGAGACCATGGCCAACTGAATCTACTAAGACAGGCTCATACACACTCATGGAGACTGAAGTGGCAAGCATAGGCCTGCAGGGGTCTGCATCAGGTCCTCTGTATGCATGGCATGGTTGTTAGCGTGGTGTTTTTCTAACAGCGGGAGGGAGTATATCCCTGACTCTTTTGCCTGCTCTTAAGACTCTTTTCTTCCTCTTGGGTTGCCTAGTCCAGCCTCGACATAAGAGATTTTGCCTTATCTTATTATATCTTGTTTTGCTGTGTTTTTGGTTGTTGTATCTTGGACGCCTGTCCTTTTCTGATAGGAGATGTAGGGTGAGTGGATTGGATGGGAGTTGGAGGAGTAGACAGAGGGGAAACCTGGTCTGGGTGTATTGTATGAAAGAAGCATCTATTTTCAATTAAAAAAGAAAAACAGTAACTAACTCCCTGAAGGAAAATGAACTTGGAAATAGGAGAACCAAGATCCTGCTTAAAAACCTAAGTCTAAAGCAACATAGTCCTGGTAGGATTTATTCTTCTCTGTTCTTCCAACTATGACTTCATTCTTAAAGTCAACAAAGAATTAACCATAAAATATTTTATTACATAAATGTATCATTTTGTGTGCTAATTTAAAAAGTTAAAAACAAGTGCTCAAAACAATGAAGAAGAAAGGTTTACAATAGAACTCTCATATAGCAAAACCAGTTCCATAGTTAAACTATTATCCATAATACAATTTTATCTAAACCTATATACAGAACATAATGACTTGCGTAAATGCTTTCTTGATTTCCTTAGATACATACTGCTTCCCTTTGATTCTGGGAGTCAGAAATGATTGTGTTTCCCACTGTGATGGATTAACAGGAATTGGAGGGAAGTCATCAGGCAGCTGAGCTAGGAACAGAAGCTTATATTCTGGTTGATCTAGATTTGGTAGATATAAAGAGCCCTTCTGGACAACCAATTCATATCCATTCAGCCGCCTTATCCTCTAAGATGGACACTGATGGGGCAAGTCCTTCTGTGTATATGTTTGATTGGTATAAATAAGGCACTGTTGGCCAATAGGGAAGCAAGATAGGTGGGACTAGGAGTCCAGGAGGATTCTTGGAAATGTAGTGAAGAGAGTGGGTACCATGTGATCCTGGGGAAGAAAGGATGGGTCAGGATGCTGTCCTCAGAAAGATAAGTCCTTATAGAAATATATATTAGTAGTTATGGGTGAATAATTAAGTCAGAGCTAGACATTAAGAAACCATAGCAAACGGCCAAAAGCTTCATAATTAATATAGCATCCTGTGTGTTCATTTGGGACTGACATGGCACTGGGACCAGGCTGGCAGGAAGAATGCATGTTACAGGACACACTAATAAACAAAAGGACATTATTGAGGAAACTATGTCTCCTTAAAGACAATAGAAATTTCAGTTAGCTATATTGGATAATAGAAGGAATGTATAGAGATGAAGATGTATTGCAGTACAGATAATTAGGTGGAAAATTGAAATTCAGCAACATCTAGGAAAGTGAAAAATTCATGAGACAGCAAGTGGACTCAGTAAACAATCGCATCGTAACTAACACCATTATGCATGCCATAGATCACATTCAGGAGGAATGTTACAGATGCAAGCGAAACTCTTTTCCCGCCAATGTATGTACTATACTGAAGTGACAGCCTTACAACTAATATGAATTTCCAAGGCATGGAAGTAATTCAGAAATTAATAGCCATTTGACTACAGGCTGTAGTTTCTGGCCCACACTAATCTGAGGTAGGCACTCAAGATGGTTCAGAAAAAGATAAAGGAAACTGATAAAGGGGCAATGTCAGTTTAAACAATATGATGCTGTGGTGCTTTGAGGGAAATGACTTCAGGAAAGGTCCACTAACATCAGCAAGTCTACGTCATTAAAATGCAATGCTAATCACAGCAAGGCTTTGTGAACAAACTTTGAGAAGAGCTGCCGTGTCAGCCACATTGTGTCTGTCCTGCTACCTCCCCAGCCCAGTCCCAGACAGATTCCCCAAACACTCACCATCCAGGAAGCACCAGCGAGGGGACAGCCTCTGAGCTGAGAGCGCCCTGGGGAAGGGGGTTTCTTGGTCCTAGAAAGAGACACACAAGTTCTCATGGCTCCATTTGCTTGACAACAGGGATTTCCCTCCCTACACTTCCTCCCACAACACATACTGGGAATAAGCAAACACTACAGCATAAATGATTCCCCCCCACAAACGTTCCAGGAGAGAGTCCACGGTTGCATCCAAGTTTGAGAAAGGACCTACGCAGCGGTTCCCTTCAGATGGAGAATGTGCGTTACTTTCTTGCCCTTTGTGAAGTGGAGAAGCTACCCACAACTTAGGTTTCCTTCTCTACATCAGCAAAAGGGATGAACACAGATAAAAATGGGTAAGGTTTGAACTTTCTTCACCAGTCAGACAGAACTTACAGCATGTAAGAGACACAGGGCTCCAGGGGACTTGGGGAGCAGGTACTACACAAAAGAAACCCCAGTTAATGTTGAGTCTGTCTCTTCCCTAAGCCCTGCCCACCCAAGATTGCAGGATGACTGTCCTTTGGGAAACTCATCTGTCCCCCACTGACCCTCTAACAATGTGTATCTCTACCTTAGCATTCTCTAGGCCTCTCACTTCAATGATAGTCAGTGCTTAATCTTCCTTGACCCTAAGGCCATCTGATATAAATGCATTCTTTCCTCTAGTTTGAGATTAAAATATTTCTCCAAAACTAAGCATCTTGTAGTCACCTCTATCTTCCCAAGAAACTTCCTTTCTGTAACATATTAAAATCCACCCTGCCACTCTCAAACACAAATCATTCTCTTTGCAACAGCTTCCTCTGTCTAAAAGCAAATGTCCTTCAAGTGACCCCACTTTATCTTCTGATGATTTTCTTAGTCATCCCCTTCTTTGCCCTGCCAAACTCCTGAAACATGCGTCCTGTCCCTCTGCAGGGACATACCCAGGCACACATTTGGTCATCCTAGAAATCATCCTTCAGAAGCTTGCCAGAGAGTGCCAAGAGTACCCTAACCCCTTCCTGAGTTAACATTCTGAGTTAGCCATTAAGAAACCATAGCAAATTGAAATTTGCTATGGAGTCATTGAAAATTTTGCTTTTTAACTTTTTTGTATTTTTCAAAATTAAAAGAGAATTACATCATTTCTCCTTTTTTTCTCCCTCCAACTGTTGCCATGTAACCCCACCCTCTGCTCTCTCTTAAATCCATGGCCCCTGGCCTCTTTTTCTTTAACTAATAACACACATAATATGTTCAATGCATACAATGTTACTCGTAGGTACATAATTTCAGGGATGATCATTTGGGGGCTGATACCCAGAGTTGACCATTTCTTAGACTCTCAGCATTCCTTGGCTATCTGGAGTTCTTTGCCTAGGATTAAGGGGCCCCTCACCCATTAGCAAGTCTGTTGGTGATCCAGGCCTTGTTTACTTTTGTCAAAACGCTAAACTATACAGCCAAAGAGCACAATGGAGCCCGACGGGGAAGAGTGAGGATTGTCTCCTCATGCTTCCAAACCTGAACAAAAGAATAACCCTTCTGAAGAGGAGCTCACTATAAGGGTGCCTTACAGTTTATAACCACACATGACTTGGAGCCTTCTAACTGACTGAAGGTAAAAAGGAACTCATTGACAGAAATGGCCCAAGTAAGAGTGGCCAGGCCTCTGTGGGAAGAAGATACAGGGGCCTCGACTGTTACTGACGATTTAAAGTTTCAGTCCATGGAAGGCAGATGCGCTGAGACCAAGGTAGACTTGGCAATGGAGCAGACGGCCGGGTGCACACTGGTGAGAAAAGGGAGAGAAACGGACATGGCCCAGGAGAAATGACATGAGCCAAGCAGAGGCCACCCGGGCTTCCTCCTGAGTGAGGCTAGCCTGCTCCTGCCTCACTCAGTCTTCTGGCCAAGTAACCCAGGGGCAGCAAGCAGCACCAGTGGAAGCTCGTTAGAAATAGAGACCAAAGCTCTGCAGAAAGCTGCAGCGGGCCACACAATCTGCTTAACACGCAACTCAGATGAGCCCAGTGCATGACGAAGAACCATGCGTCTTAACAGGGCAAAAGAAAACCGTCTTACCCCCAGAAACCTTGTCTAGACAGCATGCTCTGTTCACAAAGATTGTATAAATCAAAGAACTGATAGAGGAATTACTGGCCTCCCTCTAGGCTCTCACAAAAATAAAAAATGTATCTTTATGCATCTGATTGCTAAAACCAGGAATGCAGATCTTGAGTTGGCTTTGTCACTTAGCTGGCTGAGCTAAATGAAATCTCGGCATTTGCTCAGTATCCATATTTATGAGAACTACGCTTAATGCTTTGAGTATTGTATTTTGACACATGATATTTGGATCTAAAGAAACTTACGGTCCTTAATATATTTTTATAAAATGTGTTATGCCACCAACACCTCGTAGGCTTTGGTAGAGAAAAAATATAGCTATATGCCAAGAACTCTGAAATGATTTGAAATGTTTGTTGGTAGCTGTGAAAAACTAATAAAGACATTAAACAAAGATAACTATTTCCTCAGAATTTCCAGGGTGCTTTCTGAATCTTAGTACTATTTTCTGTAAATAACACTCAACAGAAAGTGTATAGACAGACTTGACTTACCATTTTTAAACATAAGGATGCGCTCCCCCTTACACACACACTAAATACATGTAAGAATATTTGTAGCTGAGCGGTGGTGGATCACGCCTTTAATCCCAGCACTCAGGAGGCAGAGGCAGGCGGATCTCTGTGAGTTCGAGGCCAGCCTGGACCGACAGCCTCCAAAACAATACAGAGAAACCCTGTCTCGTAAAAACCAAAAAAAAAAAAAAAAGAATATTTGTGAAAAATTTGAGCTGATTTGGCAAACCCATGTGTACATGCATTTTCCGGGGGTGGGGGATGACTCTTCTTTCTACAGACTATCAGAGTAATCTGTGATTCCTGAAAGGCTAAAGCAATTCAAAATTTAAGTTTAAATAACCCAAGGTTTTGGTAACTGGAAAATCAACACAATATCCGGACCAGTAGAAATACCTTAAAATAGCCAAAGACTCAACAGCAGAGACTGCTGATTCAGAGATGCAGGTGATCCAGTCTAAGTTTGTGGCTATTGCCTAAGTGAAAAGTTGAGTCAGTCTCTGTCCTAGGAGGAGCCAATGGCCTCCTTGCTCACTCCCATCATGGTCCTTCCAATATATTTGTGTTTGGAGGCTTAAGTTCTATATACCATCACTAGGTTTTTAATTGCTTCTATTGACTTTATATGTGTGGGTGTTTTGCCTGCATGTATTTCTATGTACCCTGTGCATGCCTGGTGCCTGTAGAGACCAGAAGAGGCCATTAGATCCCCTGGAACTGAAATTACAATCAGTTGTGAGATGCTGTGTGGGCGCTGGGAATTGAACCTGGTGCTCTTACCATTGAGCCACCTCTCCAGTCCCCTTTATTGTCATGTTTTCAAAGGGGGACAGATTTAGACTGAACACAAAATAGCCTTAATAAACAAATTGAGTAGTACATCATTAATGACAATATAGAAATCTGTGTTAAAAAATCAGTTTTACTGAAAAGAAAATGAAATACTTGCTTGGTGAATGAAGATTTTGCTGCAATTTTGGAGGCTGTTAGAGAAACAAAGATAGGGATGCTGCCTTGAAACAGATTTGTATTCTCTCTAAGCAAGCTCATAAAAGGACAGCTATTAGCATAATGAGGTCTTATGCCACAGCCATTAGCATTCCAAAGAAGATATAATTGATATATTCTTAGAGATACACTGAAAGTAAACTACCTAATTTTGTTAAATGTACACGTGGAGGACAGGGAGAGAACTCAATAGATAAAATGCTTGCCTTGCATTTTATCGAGTTTAGGTCCCCAACTCCAGGGTAAAAGCTGGACATTGTAGTACATTCTTGTAACTCCAGCACTGAGGGGCAGAGAACATGCATTCTGGAGCTCACTAGCCAGACAATCTAGCTAAAACGGCAAGTTCTGAGTTCAGTGATACACCCTGCTTCAAAAATTAAGATGAATAAGTAAAAGAGGGAGACATCCTGTCATCATCCACTGGCCTACAAATATGACTACATAGGAATCATATCTACAGGCATGCACACACACATGCACACATTCATAATATACCATATATACACAGAAACATTTACAAATTTAAAAAGCTGTATAAATGTTATACAGTTTTATAACCATAAGTGCTAGTATAGCCAGGTGGTGGCGCACGCCTTTAATCCCAGCACTCAGGAGGCAGAGGCAGGCGAATCTCTGTGAGTTTGAGACCAGCCTGGTCTACAAGAGATAGTTCCAGGACAGCCTCCAAAACCACAGAGAAACCCTGCCTCGAAAAACCAAATAAATAAATAAATAAATAAGTGCTAGTATATGATGTCATTCTCAACACTTTGAAAATTGGGACAGGAGGTTCAGAAGTTCAAGGCTAGCCAGCCAGTGCCATATAGTGAGTTGAACCCAGCCTTGGCTACATGAGACCCTTGGTCAAGAAAGAAAGGCAAACAAACAAACAAAGCTATGAAATCTCAACAAAATTCTGTCCTTGATACATTGGGGCAACAAAAGATGAAACTTGCCTGGGATTATGTAAAAATGATGTTTCAATGCAGCAGACCAACAAAATAAAAAACATTTGTAGGAGATCAACCAACACCCTATAAACTGAAAAGAAGTAACAAAATGTATAGGGGCTGGGGCGACTTCGCATTAACCAAGAGAACAGGGTTAGTGCAAACTAACCTGGGTTGGTGGCTATACTAGTTACTGGCATTTATGTGAGTTGGATGACTGAGAAAAAAATATTTATGGTGAAGAACAGTGCTTTAGAAAGCTGTATGAAACCACCACTACTATCCTCATCACCATCACTGCAAAAGAGTTGATATTAAAAAAAAACATATTCCTGTTTCTGGGGTGTTTAAATGTCATAAGGGGATGAATTGGGAGAGAAAGGTAAGAGACTGTTTATGACCCAACTTCAGTTAAGCAGCCAGACTGCAGAAGTAGATGACTGGTCTCCAGAATGCCAGCT